AGCGAACTATTAATATATCCAGTGCTCGTACAGTGGGACTGCCACAGTGTTCTTAGAGTATTCCCCCATCTTTTTGCTTTTTTGTTTTTCTGTTCCCTGAAGGGTATAGTTTCGTAATGAACACCATCACCCGCTATATGTAACCACGCGGTTTAAAGTCCCAAGGCATTTCGCAGATGAACATGACGCACGAAATCTGTAGGGAAATCTTGCCAGAAGACCTCAACGAGGAAAGTTGGCGATTCTATTGTGAGCTGAGTTCACGATGCTACTTAGCATTGCAGCGAATTGCGTAGCAAAAGACGCAGCGATTCCAGAGTTGCCTTACCATATCCATGGGTTATCATTGAAGCAAAGGTTTGGCTCCAGTTCACGGCGTCCTCGACCAACAGTCTGTTGGTGGACCGTCCGCCCGTAATCCCTTTAACAATTTGAACATGCCATGAGACAGAAGTACTTGTAGGCAACGCCGCAGCCTCGTACCCCCTCGAAGGGACACTGTAAAAGATATAAGATAGAGAAATGGGAAATGGGAAACCTGACAAGAAAAGTGGTGAAGGGATTGAAATTTGCAATTTTATGAAACTGCGGAAAGTGGATGTACAGGAACTAAACATGTTGAGCGCACTGCTACGGGAGTGTGACAAGACAATCGCGATCCGCCGCGTTGCTGTGCGTCGCGTGCGACGTCGCCTCAGCAAAAGACGATGTTTCTCGGTCGTGGATAGGGACTTTACAGAGCCTATAACCAAAAATAGCTATAAATCTCTACGATGCCATAGTCCACGTGAGATCCGGTGCTCCGATCGACAGGACAATACAGGCTAAGAAAACGCCGTGCCCATCGCCGCGCGAGCTGGGGAGCAAATTACGATTGTCTTGACTGTCTCTGCACTCACAACTAATAAAACTTACGACTGAATCACACCGCTCAATCTTGTACGACTTGAGGACAACACATATTTGGACATCGTATCCGTCTCAACCTGATCTTTCCATTCCTGAAATTCTTGCTTGGACTGAACGCGGCGGAATGCGCTCAAATATGCACGAATATCTCACCTTAAACCTTTGTTGGCTAGGGAACTTGAACTCCTCTATGACCAGATCATCACGACCATGTTCCTGTGCCACATGTTCGCACAACGTTGACATACGGTCGCAAACCACATCACAATGAGGATCGCCGCATTCTATGGTTGTGCCCCTAAATGAAAGTAATCGCTACAGCACTTACTCCAAGATTTGTTCAGCACTGATACTTCGAAGAGAGGTGAAGTAAGTTCATTGTTATGAGATCAGGACACTTCCTGCAGGTAAAATTTTCAACAAAATTGGACCACCCCAAGATCCTTCATCTTGAATGACATCCCTCTTCCCCATGCTACGTAACACCTTGCACAGTTCTGCCAACTTCCTACTACTTTTTCCAAAATGTTCCAGTTTCCCCCTACCTTCCTCTCCCTTCCCGAAAAGCGGCAATCGAGCGACCGGGGTGCGCCACTAACTAGGGGCATATATAGAACGGGAAAACTGTGAAAAGTAAACGACCAGAAAAGAATTCTCCAGGCGCGGAAAAAACTCCTTAAGGCCAAATGCGATCCCTCCTACCCTGAAGGAATATCCCAACGTTGTGAATAACGCGCGTGAAAGGAAAAATCAACGATCAAAAAAATTTTCTTGGGTCGAATACCGATCAACTGCGCATCCTCCTCCTCCCTCGGGATTTAAAAGCGTACGACATACATTATATGAAATACAAAAACGGAACAGTGAGTCAAAGATGGAAACAGTGAGTCAAAGATGTGCAAGCAGCTGATAGGGGCGGTTCATGATCATCAAAAAATTGACACACTACTTATCTCGGAAGTACATTCCGCCGTCGTAGCATGGGTAGAGTCGGACCTACCACCGTAACTTCCTTGATGGGGCACCCTTTGTCTGCCGTCCAGGAGAAGGAAGGGCGCGCCAATCATAAAGGCAGAGCGGTAACCCAACTCATATGTTTTTGACCAGAGCGCAGATTCCATAGAAATCATATATGAATGGGCCCTTCTATTCAAGATCCGAAAAAAACTTACTTCGGGTAATTAGGCTCCGTGTGCTCCTCTCTCATATGACGATTCATGACCACCAGTGAAGCGAACCACTTCTGACAGTATTTACACTGAGCCTAAATGGAGTAAAGAGCATAACATTGCCAAAGTTTTCCTAGTTTTATTTATGGTTCTTCTGGAAGCTTTTCTCGTTCGCAGTTCACTTAGACCTCACTTACGATTGCAGAATGCTTACAAAGAGGTATGGTCCAATGCAATCATAATATGCGCTAATGGGAGTGGCGAACGACGCCGCGGACAAGTTGTCTTGCCTGGCCGTTTGGACTAGAGCGTCACAAGGATGGGAAATTACGATATCGCCTGAT